GGGCCTCCCTCACCCCACACTCCGCCGTCGGAAGGCCTCCCTCTCCACCCTCACTCCCCCCTGCGCCGTCCGAAGGCCTCCCTCCCCAACCCCTCTATCCACACAAGGAGACCACAGCAGTAGCTACATTCAAGTTCTATTTTACTTGCTTGGAAAGCTCTTGCCCCCTAGAAAAGATTCCGGTCTGGAGGCGTGTTCCTGGCCAGCCCTCAGGGGTGGGGCCGAATGCAGAGGCCCTGGGGCGGGGGGTGCGGCGGCAGGTGGGCAAGCGGGATGCCTGGCCGGTGCAAACGCTCGGGGACAAGGTGGGCGCGTGGAGCGCAAGAGGAGGGGGTGCCCGATGCCTCTGACTTGGTGCCCCCTCCCCTGGCTCTGAAGTAGGACTGGGGACTCCAGGAGGGCCCCTGCGCAGCGCTTGGCCTCCTCCCCTCTCCCGGACACCTGACCCTCCAGAGAGCCCTGGGGGCGGGTGGAGGCCGGGCCACGGGACTCGCGCCTCCACGCCCGCAGTACGGGGTGCGGCCACCGCGGGTGTGCGGGGACCTCTTGGGTCAGGTCAAGCCCCCACGGGTGGGCCTCTGCACTGACCGACTAGCTGGCTCCCTCACCTGCTCGCACGAGGCGGCCACGGGGCGCCCCTACGAGCTTTCCCCTGCTGGCTCCCAGCTGGCAACTCCCCCTGTCCCTGGGTCCTCCCTCCCTCTAGCCCAGCAGGTGTCAGCTCTGGCGGGGCCCAAAGCTCTGCTTCCTTGTCCACGTCCCCTGCTCCTCTGGCTGGGAGACTTGCATATCGGCCTGAAGACCTCCCTGCCGCTTCTCCCAGCTCTGGCAGGGCCCGGACTGCAGCGGCTGGAGGCGAGGGGACAGCAGGGCGCCTGGCGCTGTCAGTGTACCGGCTCCGACCAGCGGGAACGCACCGCGCACCGCCCGCCCTGCCCACCGCCTCGCCGGACGCGCACGGACGCCCCGAGGTCGACCCGGGTGTTCTGGGAGGAGGCACCCAGCCGCGGGAGGCGGGGCGGGCGTTTTAAAGTAACAGGCAGGGCTTTGGTTACGTCGGGCTCCTGGACTAGCGGACACCGGAGTCGGGGAGGCTCCAGCGAGAGCCTCGCGCACCGACGGGGACCGGATCTGTAGGCGTGAGGCCTGTGCAGTGGCGACCCCTCCCGGTAAAGGCAGAGCGGGGCGGTCCTCAGGCCCACCCCGCCTCCCAGCGGGGAGCACCGAGGGCGAGGACCGGCTGCTTCTGGGGAACCTCGGGGAACCTCGAGAGCCAGCTGGGAGAGGGAGGGGTCCCGGGAGGAGGGAGGCGGTGCTGGGGGGTGGGAAGGCGAGGCGCCCGGAAGGAACACTACGGGGGCGGAGGGCCTGGGGGGCCCTGGGCGGAGCTGGAGGCCGCACTGAGCGGAGCTTGGAGGGCTGGGGAGTTAGAGGCGGGGCCCTGGCGGGGCTGGGGGCTGCCGTGGGTGGGCCCCGCGCCTCACATGATGTCGTCCAGCAGGTTGGCGCTGGCCACCCAGTCCAGAGCGCGCGGCTCCGAGGCGGCCATGATCATACACATAAAGGGGCGGCCGGTGCGCCGGTCCGTGGGGTAGATGGTGGTGGGCGTGAAGCGCCGGTTGGCCTCGACGAACTCGCAGAGCTGCTCGTAGACGCGCGGGAACTCGTGGCGCAGGAAGACGCCGCGCAGCCGCAGCTCGCGCTGGATGTGGATGAAGGCCACCTCGCGCGCGCGCCGGCCCGCCTCGCCTTCCTGATCCAGGCCCGCCGTGCCGGGCGGCGGCGTCAGGATCAGCGTCTCCATGTCGGGCTCGCGGCTCCGCGCCGGGGGCGGCCGCGCGGGGCTGCCGGCCGCCAGCGCCACCTTGGCGAACTTGCGCACCGTGGGCCCGTGGCTGCGTGGCGCGGGCGCGGGCAGGGCGGGCGTCCCCGGGGGCGCGGCGCCGGGTCCCACGGCCACGGACACGCTGAGCAGGAAACACTCGGCCGGCTCGTAGAGGCGCCCCGCGGCCGCCAGCTCGCGGGCATAGCTGCCCAGGGGCGCCGCGTGTGTGGCCAGCTCGCGCAGGGACAGGTAGGTGGGGGACAGCAGCAGCCCCTCCAGGCCGAAGCGCAGGAAGTTGTCGGCGGAGCCGGGACTCGGGAAGCCCAGGAAGAGCACGCCGCGGCCGCGGGACAGGAAGCCGACGCGCGCGATGCGCGAGAAGGCGCGGTGCACCGGGCCGCTGTCGCGGCAGAACTGCAGCACGTGGCGGCACACGCTGCCCACGCGGCCGTACACGCAGCGCGTCTTGTGCGCGTCCCAGTCCTCGCGGCGGCACAGGCGCGAGCAGTAGTAGGTGTAGCAGCTATGGCAGGACTTGAAGTAGAGGCAGGCGTTGAACATGGTCTCGGTGCGCCGGCAGCGCGCGTTGGAGCAGGTCATCAGGTCGTCCTCGTCGGCGCTGGGCTCGGGGGACGCGTCGGCCGCCTCTCCCTGGGCCGCGGGCTCCTCCGCGCTGCCGGCCGAGGCGGGGGGCGAGCGTGGCGGCGCCAGCGCGGGGGCCCCGGAGCCCGCCGGCCGCGAGTCCAGCAGGCGGCGCAGCTGGGGGCCCAGGCAGTCGGCCGCGGGCTCCGGGGCCTGGCCGGCGGGGGGCCGCGAGTCGATAACCAGGTCCGTGATGAGCTCGTCCAGCTGCTCCAGGCTGCGCTGGCGGCCAGGGGTGGGGCCGTCAGGGGCCGCGTGGGAAGGCGGCCGCGCGCGTCCCCCGGGCAGCTCCCAGGCCCTGGCGCTCGGGCGCTCGGCGGCGCGCAGGTCGTTGTCGGTGATGGTGATCTCGGGCGTCACGTACCAGTTGCGGCCCAGGCCCTCGCCCGAGCGGCCCTTCTCGGTCAGCGACGTCTCGGACAGGGACAGGGCGGCGTAGCGTCTGGGCGAGGTGGACAGGTTCACCACGACGGGCGGGCGCCGGCCTTCGGGGGACGCGCCACGCGGCTCCCGCACCTCGCGCCCCAGCAGGTTCTCATAGCTGCGGCCGCGGCCCAGGGGGTCTTCCCGGCGCGGCCCCGGGGCCAGAATGTTGTCCCAGGAGCGCGAGTAGTGGCGGCTGTCGGTGACCAGCCGGGGCGGACTGGTGCCGGTGCCGCCGTGCCAGGAGGCGAGCAGTGGGTCGTGGTCGGACGGCGGCGCCACCTGCAGGGTGCGGTACGGGCGCGGGCCCCAGTCCGCCCAGGCCTGGCTGCTGCGCGGATGCGGATACGTCCGAGCCAGGACGTCGCGCTCGCGGTACCGCCCGAAGTCCTCCGTGTAAAAGGGGCGGGCGGTGTGGTGGGCCCGGGGCTCCTCCGGGAAGTAGCGGGGCCCGTAGTGCAGGCCGTAGGCTCGCGGAGCCTCCCCGTAGTAGGAGCGGGAGGGCGGCTCCTGGATCGGGAAGGTGCGCACATCTCCCGCGTAGTAGCCGCCCACGCGCCGGGGACTGGGCCCCGGGAACTCTTCGGGACGGTAGGGCCTGGGGCAGTAGGCGTCGAAGGTGGGGCCCGGGCTGGCCGCGTAGCTGCCCCGGAAGCCCTGGGACTCCTCGGTGTAGAAGAACTGGGTGGGGCCCGGCGGGGTGGTGAAGGCCAGACTGCGGCGCTCGGCGTAGTCTCGGGGCCCAGGCAGGGGCCCGTCGCAGTAGAGAGCCCGGGGGTCTGCGCAGTAGGAGTCGCTGGGCGTGGGGGTGCGCGACAGCGCCATGTGGCGGGGCCCGGGCACCGTGAGGCCGTGGAACTGCGGGGCGGGGCGGGCCCAGGGCGCGGCCTCGGCGGGCGCGCAGGACCGCGAGCCCCGGGCGGCGTGCTGGAGCACCGCGTCGTCGGGCTTGATGTCCAGGCGGCAGCGCACGTGGGGGGCGGGTCCCGAGGGCGGCTCGGGCGGCGCGCAGCGGCCCGCGGCGGCGCACAAGGGCGCCATGCGGCCGGGGCCACCCCGCTGCGGCTGCAGCTTGATGGGATGCAGCTCGTTGGCGAGCGCGCGGAGCGCCGGGTACGCGGGCTCCCGGCGCGGCGACGCCTCGGCCCGCGACGCCTCGGCCCGCGCCGCCCGCTGAGCTTCCCGCTGAGCTTCCCGCCCTCGGCGGGGCAACACCGGCGACGAGGCGGGCGCGGGAGTCAGGCCCGGGGGCGCGCGGGGCGCGCTCTTGGAGCGGGCGCGGCGGCGCGGCTCGGCCTCCCGGGCCCGGGCGCGCGACACGGCGGGCTCCGGGGGCGGTGGCTCCGGCATGGTCTCCTCCGCTGGCCCGTCCAGCGCCTCCAGGAAGTCGAAGCTGCGGCAGTGGCGCTTGTTGAAAGGCGCGGGCTCGGCAGGCCGGGCCACGGATCGCTCACATGGCGGGCGCCTGGATGCGGGTCCCGGGGCCGCCACCTTGATGTCCTGGTACACGGTCGACACCAGCAGGTCCGGCGGGTCCGTACGGGTCATCTTAAAAGAGGTCCCCAGGCTGGCGGCTCCAGCTCACTCTGCCTTGCGGGGCTTTTGCCCTGGGGGGAGACTCGGGTCAGGGCGGCCCCCTCCGCAGCCCAGGCCCCGCTACTCCCCCACGCTGGCCCGGCTTACCTGGGGCGCAGCGGGCGGAGCAGCCCTGGCTGCTGGCTTGGGCCGAGAACGCGGGCGCTTCCTCCATGCCGGGGTTAGAGGCACCTGCGGGAGGAACCCAGCTGTCCAGGCGCCCAGATCCCGCCCTTCCCCCATCCTCTCCCGGCGGTGGGGCCACAAAGGCTTAGCTGTGGCTGTGGTTCCCGCGGCGGGAGGTCCCCTGCCCCGACTAGTGATGGCGGGGCAAGCTCCGGTGGACCCCTTTCCGGGTGGGGCAGGGGAGTAGGGGCGCGGTCCTGGGGCTGCGCCCTCTCCTGTCCGCAGCTGGAAGGACGGGGCGCATTTGGGCCCTGTTTACAGGTGTTGCCCTGCGAGACGTTAGTGACTGCGCCCCCGTCACAGGTGTCACTGCAGACCGACCCCTCTGATCGCGCAGTCGAAAGCAAGTCCCTGGGCCTCAGCCTTAGCCAGCTCTGCACCAAGTGGGTGACACCAACCACCCCACCTGGTGGCCAGGCCCAGCACAGAGCCCCTCCCCCAACACTGCAAGGACCCACGCCTAAGTGCGCTCAACCTCCCGTGAGCCCCAGGCCGGAAAATGCCCGAGAGAGCATACCTGGGTCCTAAGCCCCCTTTCCTTTGCCGACATCTCTTTTGACCCCAAGTATCTTTGGGTGGTTGAAGCAAGGCCCCCAGAGGGCCCCTGCACCCAGCTTTGTGTGAACGCACAGGACACCCCCCTGGGGTGTGCACAGCGGCCAGCGAGCCGAGCTCTGGCACCCCCTCTCTCCTGAGCTGCGCGCCAGGGCCGGAAGCTGCCCACTGGGGGTGGGCAGGGCGGAGGGCGGGGGAAGCCCCGCTGCTTGGCAGGAGAGGGCCCTCCCCACTTCACTCAGGAGGTTCCATGGAAACCTGCCTTTCTTAGGCCCCCACGCTGCCGGCTGCCCAGGGTTCAGATGTGGGCTACCAGCACCTCTGTGGTCCCAGGGCCAGGGGCCAGCTGCGGGGTGTGCCAGACCGTGGCCACAGGCCTGGCCTCCTCACACCGAGCCCCTGGTGTGGCAGGTCTGCCCTGGAGTGAGTGGGGGAAAGCAGGGACTTGGCCAGGCCCCCCCGCCCGTCAGACCCAAAGGTAAATGGGCCTCTCGGGGTCTGGCCGGGTTGCCCCCCGTCCCAGGTGTGCAGGGACTTCCTGCTGGCAGGGCTGCTTTTCTGGGTCAGGGCCACGAGTCCCAGGCCTCATCCCCATCCCAGCCTCCCATCCACCCCGTCTCTCCTCGGGTGGCAGGACTGTCCACCCTCCTGCTCCCCCATTCATGCTAAGCTCAAGGCCAGGCCGACATCCGGCCGGATGACAGGGTGTGAGGCTCCACCCCAGGGAGGTGACAGCCGGCCTTGCTGGCTGTGGCTGTCAGTGACACCCCCTCCCGTGGAGATGGGGGTGGGCTCGGCCCCCTCCTTGGCCCAAGACCTTCTGGAGCCCACGCGGATGGTGGGCGTCCTTCCCCACCTCCCACCTCTGCCCTGGCCTGGCCGGGAGCGGCCCTTCAAGGGATCCAGCCAGTGCTGCCTGGGGGCGGGGACTCCCCATCCTTTCGTCGCCCTAAGGCAGCCTCCCCCGCCCATGACAGTGACACATTCAGCAGCTCGGCCCCCGGCCCCTCACCTGGGTAGTGCTCCGGCTGCGCCCCGTGGGCCGTGCCACCCCCAGCGTGGCTCCTCCGTGTCCTCAGCACTGCTGCGTCCCCGGCCCCGGCAGAAGCTTCGAGGCAGCAGCGCGGATCCTGGCCTGGCTGCTCAGTGCTGCCCCCGGTGGAGGATGACGGGGCTGTACTTAAAGGAGCCGCGCCCAGTGGGGGATGCACAGGAGCTGGGGACCGAGCTGCACCGGCTCCGATCTGGGACTGTGCGGAGGACGGGGTCCCTGCAGCCTCCCTCAGACAGACCTCAAAGTCTCCACAGGAACCCTGTGCCCCTGAGTGGCCGGCTAGCGTCACCCCAACACACTTGCCTGAGAGGAGGAGCCCCAGCCTGGCCTGCGCTGCAGATTGGTTAGGGGGATCTTGGAATTCGCATCTCCCGTTGGGCCCGGCAGGAGCAGATGGGCTACTCCCCACCCTGCTGGCCTCCCCCCAGGCCCTATCTGCTTCCAGGCTGCCCATGCCAGAATCTTGGTGGGTACCTGTGGCCAGATGGCCCCAGCAGCCTCCTGTGTCCCCAGGACACCAGCCTCTCCTGTACCCAGTGTCCCTGCCAGCTTGGGGTGTTCTGAGCCTGGGGTCTGCACGTGACCCTCCGTAACCTTCCCGGTACCATCCTCATCCCAACTCTGCCAGCCCCCTCTCCAAGGCACTGGGCCTGAGAACAGCCTAGCTTGGCAGAAGGTTGGGCAGTGGATGCCCTTGGCTCTGAAGGCAGAACTGACCCCATTCTGCATCCTGTTCAAAGCAGGGCCGTGAACACCCAACACAGCCATCCGTGGTGTGGTCCAGGCAAGTTCGGTGCCCTTGACCCATCCCTAGGGGACGCCTGAAGCCAGCCCTCATCCTGCAGGCTGTGGGCTAAGGGGTCAGGTTCCTAAGGGGGCAGGTTGCTGTGGGCCTTGGCACTGCTCCATGCCCCAGGGCCACAAAGCTCCCGGGCACAGGAGCCTCCAGCATGGCCACCTCCCCCTTCACTGGCGCACTCCTGCCCGCCCTGCAGGGTTCTCATGGCAACAGCGGCTGTGGGGGTGGTGAGGGGGTGGAGGCTGGGCGCTGCTGACAGCTGGGGGGGGCAGGGGCCTGAAGGAGGGGCAGGGCTGCGTGTGGCTGCCTGGGAGCAGTGCGGAGTGGACTTCCACCTCCTGGGGCTGCAGACCCCCAAGTGTGCCGGATGCAGCTGCTGAGACTCGGCCAAGGTGGGCTGTGTTGTACCCAGGTGTGGCCAGTGGCCAGACTGGGGGGTGTCCTCATGCTGGCCCCATGCTGGTGGGCAGCCTCCTGCCTCAGGGGACTTCCCTGCCAACCCATAGCAGCCTGGGCTCAGGGCGGTGGGCACAGAGGAGCAGGGAGAAGAACAGACACAGGCAGAGTGAAACAGGAGTGCTTTATGGTCCGAGTGCAGTGGCAGGAGCGCCTCCCGGCTCCTGTCTGGGCTCACCTGAGCGGGGTGCAGTGGGGGCCGCTGTGGGGAGACGGTGCCTGGGAAGCACCCCTCCCCGAGGAGAGGCCTCACCTGCTGCAGTCTCGCCAGCCTTGCGCAGTGCAGGGCCTGGCTGCCCTTCATGGTGGGTCTACACACCCATGCTGAAGGCTCCCGGCCAGAGGCACAGCCAGACACCCTGTGGCCCTGGGTGGGTGTGGAGGGCAAGCAGGTGCCAGGGTGGAGGGTAAGCAGGTGCCAGGGCAGTGCGCACCCCAAGGCCAAGCGGCCCCTGCCCAGCCTCTGTAAACAGACCCTAACGGGTCCCTACTGGGCCTCAGTCACATCCCTGAGAAACACTGGGGACTGGCAGCTCTGCCCCAAGAGGGCCAGGGTATCCACCAAGCCTGGCCAAAGCCAGATGTCCCCTCCCTCCCTGCAGAGCAGGCTCATGCCAGGGCTGCCGCCACCCGGCCTCTTCCAGCTCAGAAGTGCACGTGGCAGCTGCCAGGCAGCAGCAAAGGCGATGGCGCAGCCGCAAAAGCCTCCCCAGGCAGTGACAGGCATGGCCCCCGCCCCAAGGCAGCCACCGCCCCAGCAGGCCTAGAGCTCCTCATAGTCACCACCCCCAGGGTGGCGGCCGCCTGGGGCCCCGCCCCCCAGGAAAGCCTCCAGCTCGTTGGCCGCTGTCCTCTCCCGGCCGCGCGGGGGACGCTGCCTTCGCCGCCGCGGCTCCTCCCTGCCCTCCTCCTTGTCCTTGCTTCTCTTGTGTTTGCTCTTCTTCTTGGCAGCCTTTTCTTCCTCCTGGGGGGCACAAGCAGGGGGCACCACGGAGTCACAGGAGGCCTGAGTCCTGACCCCAGGACTGCACCCTGCCCAGCTCTGGCCTGCCCAGAAGGGGCTGAGGCCCGGCAGATACCTCTTTGCCTTTCTTCTTCTTCTTCTTCTTCTTCTCCTTGGAGGGGGTTTTGCTCTCCTTACCTGCACGGACAGGACAGACACTCAGTGGCTCCAACTCAGGCCTGTGGGGGACCCCAATACCGGGTGACAGGACTTCTCCAGACACAGAGCAGAGCCCCCAGCCCTCCAGGAGGCCTGCTGATGGACAGGACCGTGCTGCAGACCTCGGGAGAGGTCCACGGCCAGTGGCTGGCAGGTGGGAAAAGGCAGGAGGCCACAGGCCCACGTCCTGCCAGACCCCAGCAGGCCGGCCGCACTCCGGCACCCCACCCACCTTCCTCACTGCTCTCCTTGGGTCCGGCCTCTTCCAGCCCCAGCCCGAAGAGGTCCGAGTCATTCTTCGGTCTGAAGGCAGGGAGAGGAGGCTTGCGGGGTGGGGGCGGCTGGGCCAGGGCCGGGCAGCCAAGGCCTGGCTGTGAGGCCTCGTCCTCGTCACTCACATCGGAGGGGTCATCTCGAACGGGAAACTCATCCTGGAGATGGGAGCGCAGCTGGTAGGCCGCTGTCCCTCCCACACCCCTGGGGACTATGGGGCCTCAAACCCAGCTGGCAAGGCCCAGGTGTGGAGACACAGGGCACCTCTTCCAGAAGCTTCCTCCTGCTGTGCCAGCCCAGATCAGGCCTGCAGGAGGGGCTCTACCTATGCCCGGGAGAACCCGTCTTACCGCCCTACGCTGTGTGTCTGACGCTTCACTCTCGAAGTCAGGGTCGTCCATGACGAAGGACAGCATTTGTGCTGCAATGGGCCCCTCGGGGTCACTCTCGGGCGAGGATGTCTGCTCGCCCTTCCCCGTCTCCGTCTCGTCGGGGGGCCTGGTGCTGCTGCGCTTCTCAAGACCCGAGTGAACAGGGGCACCGCCTGGCCAGGGGGGTGCCGCGGCCCTTGCAGGAGCTGTCCCCCTCTGCAGCTTTGAGGTTGGTGTGGAGGACCTTTGTGGACAAGTAGAGGGTCAGGGTCCTCCAGAGGGTCCTGAGCTGCCCCCGCCCTGGTGTCCAGCTGCACCCCGGAGGAACTTTCCCATACCGTTTGGTTCCTGGCTCTGAGCACTGCTGGGGAGCCTGCGCAGGGCCTTTTGGGGGATGTGCCATTTCCGCTTCCTCCTCACTTGAAAGAGTGATGTTCTGACTAGGGACGGGGCCTGTGGGTGGCGGGGGACTCCCACGTGGCTGGTCTTCGAGGTCCACATCGTCCTGGAACCCTGCCACCATCGGGTTGCCACCCAGAGTCTCCGCATCACTGCAAAGCAAGTGGCCAAGCGGTCAGAGGCGGCAGGGTGGGGACGATGGCCTGGCTTAGAGGCCTTGGTTCGAGGCACCCCAGCACACCCTGGCGGTTGCCACCCAGGGTCTACTAGAAGCTGTGCCCCTCATGGCAGCAGGAAAGGGCCAGGGAGGACAAGGTTGGACACAGTGCTGGCCTGCGGCTGGCCAGTGGCGTGAAGGATGGTCGGCGCCAAGGGGGCAAGCCCAGCTCAGGGCCACTTTCTGTCCTTTGTATTTCTGCAGGAAGCCAGTGCCCCACAGCAATGGGTGAGGACAGGGTGCTGAGACCACCCGAGGTGAAGCCTGTCCAGTGGAGCCCACGCCTGGGACCAGACGCAAGGCTTTGCTGCAGGCAGCATCTGGGGCAGCTTGGCAGGCGGACAGGAGCCGGCTCTAGCTCCCAGCGCTGGGACCTGCGGAGACCATATCTGGTGGCCCGAACCTCCCCATGTGACCCAGAGTGGCCCTGCCAATGCCCTCCATGTGGCCTGAACCTCCTCCCCATGTGACCTTGAGAGGCCTCGCCAATGCCCTCCATGTGGAATATGCCCTCTCCAGGGTGTGGGCAGAGTGGGTGGCCAGGCCTTTCTGAGGTCTGAAAGCCCCATCTGAGCCCTTCCCTCATCTGCACTGGCCACAGATCTGCCCTGTCCTCAGCCACACTGCCCAGCTGGCAGGGGCCCCTTCTGCACCCCCAGGAAGCCAGCCCTGCCTGCTGCTCGGGCACCCTGGAAGCTGGGGGCAACGGGACAATGGTCCAGGGCCCACCCTCACCTGTCGCTGTCCTGCTGCGCAGCCTTGGCCCCAACCTTCTTCTCGACCCTGGCGGGGGTCGTGTCTTCCAGGAAGCTGCGGTCCAGGTGGTCCTCGGGAATGAAGTCCTCCACATTCTGGACTTTTGCTGGGGCCTCTGTGGCCGGGACTGGCTCTGTGAACAGTGACGCTGGTTCCTCTTCACTTAGCACCAGCGGTCTCACTGTGCCCAACCCCTGGCCAGGCCCACCCTGGCTGTGCCCATGGGACTGGGACAAGCAGGAAGTGGGGAGCGCTCTGAGACGAGGGGCCCCACCTGTGAGGGTACGGGGAGGCAGGGACCAGGGTCGGAGGTCAGCTCCAGGGCCTACCTGCAGGAGGTGGGGCGACCTCAGCGGCAGGTGAGGTCCCAAACAGCCGGGAGATGATGCTGCGCCGTGGGGCGGGGGCTGAGGGGCATGCAGGCAGGGGCAGGGCCTCTGAGGGCGTCGTAGGGGCCACGGAGGCTGGCGGGGTGGTGGTGAGGGGTAGCTGTGGGGCAGGCTGGGGTGTGCTGGGGCTGGAGCTCCCCGTGGACACAGTGCCTGGAGCTATCACTGGTGACTGGGAACCCGAGGACGGGCTCTGCCCGTTGGCCGCCAGGGGGCATGCATGGCCGCGGCTGCGAGCCTCCATCATCTCCAGGAAGCTGGAAGGTAGAAGGCCGGTGAGAAGCCCGACTCCCCTGCCTCTCCCTGGGGTCCCTAGGTGACGGGGGCTCTCTGCTGCTGCTGCTGCTGGGGCTGGGAAGAGCCGCTGTGTTCTGGGGCACCTGCCTCACCCACTTCCAGGAGCAGCAGCGCCTAAGGGCGGGGACAGCAGGCACCAGTGTGGGCATGTCCCACTGCCAAGAAAGTCCCTGCGGATCTGTTCTGAGGCAGCTGATGGGGGCTCTGTGCAGACATTGCCAGATGGCAGCAAGTGGACCTTCCCGAGAGGGGGTTCTGGGAAGAGGAGGGGCTGGGCTTGGCAGGGTGTGTGCAGCTCGCCCAACTCAGTCCCAGGAAATGGGTTCTGCAGAGAAGCGCCCGTGTGAGGGGCTCCCTTCTGGGGCCACCCTGGCAGCTGGAAGCCATGGGTCCCTCTCCAGGCATCAAACTGCCTTCTCAGGCGGCTCTGTCCAAACAGCCAGATCCAAAGTGACCCATGGGTTCTCCCTCTGGAGATAAAGACCTGCTGAGGAACTCCGGAGGGCCTGTTTTAGTGTCCCTGACTGGGTCCCAGGGGAGGCTCCAAGCCCCCAGCCGTGCAGGAGCCTGAGGCAGAGGATGGGTCGGCCATCCCACCACCGGCAACCCCGGGGCTGCGTGTGCTGCCCACACCCACTCAGGAGGATGCTGAGCTACCCCCTGCTGTCAAGGACCAGAGGCCTTTATGTCCTGACCCATGTGCCTCTTCAGCACAAGGAGCTCCTCAGAAAGCACACGCCACGCTACTGTCAGTCTGGGAAGCCGAGCTCCTGAGGAGCAGGCAGCCCCAGCAGGACTCCCCCAGCCCCAGTGCCTGGCCAGTCGGTGGCACTCAAAGCAGTAGGCATGGCATGACTTGCACACACAGTTCATGCCAGGCAGGGCTCTGATTGGGCTGCTGGGGGCAGTGCCAGCCTGAGCCCTCCTCCCCCTGTGCCCCAAGATGACTGATTTACCCTCCCCTCTGCTGTCCTGGTGCAGGCCAGGCCTGGCACCATGGCTGTGCCTGCGGCCCTCACGCTGCCCCCACAGTTGGGCCCAGCCACGCACATGCCGTAATTCTGGTCCTCTGTCTCCTGCTGCACCGACAGCTCCTCCAGTGTGGCGTCCATGTCTAGCTGGTTTGTCTCCAGCTGCCGCAGCAGCGTCTCCCTCTGCAGAAGGGGAGCACACAGGCCTGAGCAGGGGCCCTCCTGATGCGAGCACCCCAGCCCTACAGCAGCCGAAGGCATCAGGGACGCCGCCTGCTGAAACCAGGAGACATGGGAGGGCTGGCTTCTCAGTAACTCATGCAGCTCTGAGCTGGGCCTCACTGGAACCACAGAAGCCCGTAGGACTCCTTCACGTGGCCAGCACGACACCTATGCTGCCTCAGGGCACAGATGCCAGTCACAGGCACACATGTGCTTGTGAGGGTGCAGAAGCTCCACCTTCACCTGGAAAACAACCTTTCTGCTCCCAGATGCGCACACCTCCTCTGGGGGCAGGACTCAGCCCCGCCATCCGTGTCGCCACTGCCCCCGCTCCCACCAGCAGCTGGGCTCTGCAGCAAACCACAGCCCACCCACCTGGCCTGGAACCCCAGGCTGGTCTGATGAGCTTTGGGTCCCTGTCACTGCTCACTTTAGATTCAAATTAAACACCTGCAACAGCCCATCTCAAGCACCTGAGTTGCATGCAGAAGGCACCTGGGGGCTGAACAGGGCTGTGTCTTCTTGTGGCCGTGGAAGCTTTGCTGGCTGGACACCAGGGAGCATATAGGACAGAGCAAATCAACTAGACAGAAAATGCAGGAGCACCTGCCGGCTAAGAGACTTGAGATGGTGTGGGGTTTATTTTATTGAGACAGGGTCTCATACCATCACCCAGGCTGGAATGCAGTGGCATGATGTGGGCTCCCCACAGCCTGAACCTCCTGGGTTCCCTTCCGTATCTCAGCCTCCAGAGTAGCTGGGACCACGTGAGTGTGTCACCATGCCTGGCTAATTTTTTTTCTTTTCTTTTTAAAGACAAGGGTTTCACCATATTGGTCAGGCTGGTCTCAAACTCCTGACCTCAGATAATCCACCCACCTCAGCATCCCAAAGTGCTGGGATTACAGGTGTGAGCCACTGCCCCCGGCCATACCTGGCTAATTTTTACAAATGTTTTGTAGTTGGTTGGGCATGGTGTCATGCCTGTAATCTCAGCACTACGGGAGGCCAAGGCAGGCAGATCACGAGGTTAGGAGTTTGAAACTAGACTGATTAACATGGAGAAACCCTGTCTCTACTGAAAATACAAACATTAGCCAAGTGTGGTGGCACACGTCTGTGGTCCCAGCTACTCAGGAGGCCGAGGCAGAAGAATCGCTTGGGGCCTGGGAGACAGAGGTGGCAGTGAGCCGAGATCACGCCACCACACTCCAGCCTGGGCAACAGCAAGACTGTCTCAAACAAAAAAAAACAGCATATTGAAGTCAGTAAGGTCCCTAAAAATGGCTACTATAACAAAAATGTGATTTACAAAGAGAAAACCAGACTCGTCAGCCAAATGTAGCTAACGTGTGAACTCTGGGTCCCACTCTGAATACTGAGCTCTGGGAATTGCATTTCTCTAAGAAAAGTCTTCGTGATGTGAATGTGAGGTGTTAAGTTAGGCACGATGGTCAGGTTAAAAAGAGAACTGGGTTTTTAGAGATGTGTCTGAAATATTTTTAGGTGACATAAAGAAGGCCTGAAATTTGCTTCCAGGCCATTCAGGAGCAAGACAGAGGAAATGGCGGTCCCGTTGCTGAGACGGGAGGGGCCGTCACATGTGCGTGAACACATCCACAACAAAAGGACAGTCACACAGCTCGGCCTATGCTTCCAGCTGAAGACTCTGTCCAGGGTCTCGTTCTCTCCCTCAGAGGCTTTGGAAGTGTTTGGAGGGCGGGCAAACCCTTCAGGGAATGGAACAGCTGAGCAGTGAGGGGCTCTCTAAGGAGAAACTTCCCACTGATGAGGGGGCGGCTCTGCAGTGCTGACACCGGACAAGTCTGACTGCCGGGCTTCCTTCCACCCAAATGTCCCCAGAAGCATTCCCAACTTGCAGCATCCCCACTTCTTCTGACACCAGGAGGAGAGCACAGCCCCTTTCCTGGGCAATCATGAAGTCCTTCTGGGGAAAGACCAAGGCTGCTGCAGCTGCAGCTGGGTCCCATGTCCCCCAGACCCAGTCGGGGCAGGCCAGGGCGAGGAGGTCCAGGTCCCCCAGACC